CTGCAGGTTCGACTGGAGCTAGTGCTGCTGATGGTGTTGGCGCTGCGGCTACCACTGGTGGAGCTGCTGGAGGTGCTGCTGGAGCGGGTGCTCCTACTGGGGGTACTGGTGCTGTCCCTGCTGTTTCTGGCGTCGCTACGCGGCCTCGACCGTACTTCGTTCCACTCCTGCAGCAGGTTCTTAGTCTTCCGCCTTCTGCTGGTCCTCCTCCTCCCTTGGAGGGTCCACAGCCTGTCCCGTCGCAGTCACAGCTACAGCCTACCTCCCCTTTGCCTGCTCCTTCTCCCTACACTGGTCCTACTGGAGGTCTTACTGAGCGTAGTGAGCCTGCGTCTCGCCCTGCGTCGCCTGTCCGTACTGCTCGCGCTAGTGGTCGTGGTTCGCGTCCGCGTCCTCCTCCTGTCCCTGGCACGCACCGGATGTCTCTGCGTCCGTCCACTGCTCCTCTGCGTGCCCCTTTGCCTTCTCCTCCTGAGTCCTCCCTTCCTGCTCTTCCCGACCCGGAGTCGGACTCTCTTCGTGCTGCCAGTCCTACTGTCACGCGTCTCCTTGCTACTGTCGTCACTGACCCTTCTTTCGAGTCTACTGCTGCGTCTGCCCTAGTTGCTGAGCTCGTCGACTTTGCTGCTCGCTGTCGCCTAGACTACGCTGCTAGTCTTGTTGCTGAGTCTGAGTCTGTCTGTCCTCCGTCCGTCGGGGGTGAGTGTGCCCTTGGCACGGACGTCCTTGAGGACAGGCAGGAGGAGTTCCAGTGTCTGGCAGCTGCTTCACCTCATCTCGTGTCCGTACTGCTTACCCCTGAGGGAGACCCGGATGCACTTGACATCCCGACTCCGCGCTCTTACGCGGAGGCGATAGAGGGTCCCTACTCCTCTCAGTGGCAGGCAGCTATGGATGCAGAGATGGCTTCCTGGAAGTCCACAGGCACCTACGTTGACGCTGTCCCCCCTCCTGGGGCGAACATCGTCAGTGGCATGTGGATCTTCAGGGTGAAGCGGCCGCCGGGTTCTCCGCCTGTCTTCAAGGCTCGTTACGTGGCTCATGGCTTCAGTCAGCGGCGGGGAGTTGACTACTTTCAGACCTTCTCCCCCACCCCGAAGATGACCACTCTTCGGGTACTGCTACACGTTGCTGCTCACCGTGACTACGAGCTGCACTCTCTCGACTTCAGCACTGCTTTCTTGCAGGGCAGCCTGCACGAGGAGATCTGGCTGCGCCGCCCACCTGGCTTCACTGGGTCTTTCCCTCCTGGTACCCAGTGGAGTCTCCGGCGTCCAGTCTACGGTCTCCGCCAGGCGCCACGTGAGTGGCACGACACACTGAGGACTACGCTTGCGGCTCTTGGGTTTGCTCCTTCTACTGCCGACCCGTCGCTGTTTCTGCGCACCGACACCTCTCTGCCGCCGTTCTACATCCTCGTGTACGTCGACGACTTAGTCTTTGCCACAGCTGACACTACTGGACTCGCCCACGTGAAGTCCGAGCTGCAGAAGAGACACACGTGCACAGACCTGGGTGAACTGCGCAGCTACCTTGGCTTGCAGATCACCCGGGACAGAGCACGCCGCACCATTACCTTGACTCAGTCACACATGGTGCAGCAGGTCCTTCAGCGCTTCGGCTTCACGTACTCCTCGCCTCAGGCCACTCCTCTGCCTACTCGCCACTCACTCTCAGCTCTGCCTTCGGATGAGTCCGTAGAGTCGAGTGGCCCGTATCCAGAGCTTGTTGGCTGCCTCATGTACCTGATGACCTGCACACGACCTGACCTTGCATACCCTCTTAGCATTCTTGCACGCTATGTTGCTCCTGGGAGACACCGACCAGAGCACATGGCTGCTGCGAAGAGGGTGTTGCGCTACTTGTGCAGTACGTCGGGCATGGGGCTAGTGCTTGGAGGGCGGAGTCCAGTGGTCCTCACTGGGCACGCGGACGCTTCTTGGGCTGACGACCAGGCTACGCAGCGGTCGTCACAGGGTTACACTTTCAGCCTCGGTTCCGGCTCTGTTTCGTGGCGGGCTACTCGCTCGTCTTCTGTTCTCGGCTCCAGTTGTGAGGCTGAGATCTACGCTGGGGCCATGGCTGCCCAGGAGCTTCGCTGGCTCGCCTACCTGCTGACCGACCTTGGAGAGCCGCCTCGTTCTCCTCCTGTCCTGTACGTAGACAACAAGGCCATGCTGGCCTTGTGTCGAGAGCAGAGACTGGAGCACAGAACTAAGCACATTGCTCTTCGCTACTTCCTTGCTCGTGAGCTACAGCAGCGTGGTCAGTTGCGGCTTGCGTACGTGGCCTCTGAGGCCAACACTGCTGATGTCTTCACCAAGGCTCTTCCGCCTTGTGATCATCAGCGCTTCTGCACTCAGCTGGGTCTTGTCCCTGTCTTGCCTCACTTGGTCACCCCTTGACCTTGCTTGTACTGTTACATATATATATACCTGCTCTTGCTTGTCTAGCCTTATCTATATATATATGTACTCCTGCATGTGAACTGGCCTTCTGGCCTTGAACTTGTGCTCAGAATGTGTGGTGACGTTGTGATCCACCCTGAGCTTGCCTTGCTTTGCTTTGCTTGACTGGTCTTGTGACCCCTTGTTCTCCCCCACTTTGCCTATGGGGGTGTGTCAGAACGTTATAGCTTATACTTTTGTGTAGGCTGTAGTGGGGTATCCCATAGGGGGTACAACCCAATTAGGGTTAGTACTTGTACCCACTTCATTCACAGTTCATCCACTCTTGTTTCTTCTCAGCGCAGAACTTGTCAAATCTCTTCAAGGTTAGCCATTCGTACCACTTTCAGCTGTATAGAGCCGTTTTTTTTTTTTTTTTTTTTTTTTTTTTTTTTTTTAATTACCTTTCCTTAATACCAATCGATTCTACTATGTGTCTAGGTAAGGCTGTCCGCTTTTGAGATGAATGGCATTTGATTTGCATAGGAAGTCAAGCCTTAGAATGCATAATGGGTCAAAACTGTTCTTAATACAAATAGCCACTACTTTGAATGTTGGAGATGCTGCCCGGTTTTGAAATCAATCGCCTCTGGTTTCCAATGGTATTAAAGCGTCTGAAAAAAAATACGGGTCAAACATGTATAAGGATAGCGATTCATAACACTCTCAAGTGCTTAGTGCCCTTGTTATACCAATAGACCCTACTATGTATATAGGTGAGGCTATACGGTTTTTTGTTCTCCAATCGCAATTGACTTGCATAAATAGTCAAGTGTTCGTGCATAGTACGAAAGAAATGTGTTCAAGGATAGCCATTAATACAACTCTCAGCTGAATAGTGTCCTTTGTGATTTCTTTAAAATTCCGTTGTTAAAACCAATGCCCCTACTCTGTATGTAGGTGATGCTGCCCGGTTTTGAGATCAATCGCAAGTGATTAACATAGGTAAACAAGCGTCTATGCATACGACGTACGCATATGGTGACTCGATAAAATTTGCAAAGTCAGAAGCTATGGTTGTCTTATTGGCCATAATAAATGCATATAAAGTTGTAAATATACTTAAAAGGAACGTGCTTATGGTCCCTATTCAGTGTCTCGTTCGTCGTTTCGTAGAATCTTGTGTTGTAGTAAGCATATCAAGTTGCTTGATAAAATGAAGATTTCAAATTCAGGTAAGTACTACCGCATGCTTTATCACGGGTATGCATTAAGAAGATTGAGGACCAACTACTAAACTCAATACCCTCATTTCCTATTACGATATTCATATTCATCTACGAATCAACCATTTATCCAATCTGAGACTTGTATTTTTATCGCCCATGTGCAAAATCGCGTTTCTGTAATGTGTGTCTGAAACCACTGACGGAAACAGTCACACGGAAGACCTGACGGAGTGCTAGTGTTCTCCGTTTCCGTCTGGCGAGCTGGCCTGTGTTCCGAAATCTAGGGCGCGACAAACTAGCCTAGCAGATTTCGGAACAGTGCGGCAGCCGAGCCACCCAGAGTGAGGATTCGATTTTGCAGAAGGGACAAAAGTCAGTTGCGCACAGTTGACAAGTTGCCCAGTACAGTAATTGGCATGGAAACTTGTGCCACGTGGGTGAATGTGGGGAAGAGTTCTGTGTTGTTTCTATAATTCCCCTGTCTGAGGCAGGGGTCGAACCGTCACGGAGAACCACCAATGAGCTAGCTGGGCCTCCGATCCCTCCATCCCCCCACCATTGTCAAAAAAAAAAAATGAAGCTCTCCGCTTCCCTGCTGCTTCCTGTCCTCGTTTTCACCTACCTCTGCTTACCTTCTACACCAACAGTTCGTCATGAGGATAACGCGTTTCGCGTTCGGTTTTTTCTACACGACGTTCCTCTGGAAGGTAAGCACCTTTGTTTGAAGTGTAACGATGGCTTTGTGCGCAGGTTCCTGTCTCCTCGTCTTACTGACGTGGGTCTTCACTCCGAAATCCTGGGAAAGGTGAGTTCGGCTAGCTTGGTGCCTTTGTTTTCCCCCGTTTTTTGTGCTATCGCAGATCGCCACTTCAGCAGAGATTGTTTCTCCGCTCATTATGTCGGCGGACACTTCCGTAATTTTGGGAGTTTGATTCCTTATCCCGGTGGTCTCCTCGTCCAAGTCATTCTCAAGTCTTGCTGGACCATCCTTCGCTGCTTTCCTTCATGCAAAGCCCTTGCGGCGGCTTTGTTACGTCCTCCTGACCCAGATCCAGTGGTTCCACCTCAATGCCAGCATGCTGACCCCCGTGGCAGCCTAACTAATAACCTTTCCTCACATGCTTACCTTGCCGACTCGGGCAGCCGATCTGGCGCCCAGTCACCTTGTTTCGGTTGCCACGGCCATCGCCAAGGCACCATTTTTCTCTCAAACCGCCTCCTCTCTCACATTGCGCGATCCGGGCTTCGGCCTTCGCCCTCCTTCTTGAATGCCGATCCGGCGGCTCTTCCCCACTTACCTCGCTTCTGGCATAAAATCAGGCCTTTGGCCATTTTACGGTTACCTCTCGCTAACATGGCTACCGAGCACAATCCCGACCACGTCATGGCGGATGGTCAGCTCCCAGTTGGAGACGAGACCCTAGACGAGCTTGGGGAGGAATTCCTCGGCGATCTCCCCGACGGAGCTCTACCTGATCTCCACGAAGATGTTGCACTGTTTACCCCTGTCGGTGCTCAGCCGCCTCCGTCTGGAGAACCTGCGGCCAAAAAGCTTTGTAGTGAGGGGCAGTCCTCGGCTGCCAGTACCTCGGGCACTGCCACCGCGTCACTTTCGGCTCCTCCTCCGATCCCCCGCGCAAGCTCTTCCGGCAGCTCCGATGCCACGGCTTCCGCACCTGGCCGCACGAATGCTCCCTCTGCGCCTCGCCCGGTGCCTGCTTCTCGCTCTCGGCCCGTGCAGCCGGAACCTGAACCAGATCACGCTGCAGCTGGTGCGGCCACTGGCCTTGCTCCCCACGCCCGCTATCGGAACTTGCGTCGCCACCGTACGACGGTCGGAGCGATTCTGCATGCGCTGACGCGCAACACGCAGGCGATGGTCGATGTGATCTTCCCCGAGTCCTCGGCGGAGGAGATTCGCGCCGCGGTGTTAACACGTATCTCCGCTCTCATCAACGGTCAGGCGTTCAACGGGGTCATTCCCTCGTTTGAGTCAGCGGCTGGTGAGGCTCTGCGGCTTCCCCGTCATACGTACTCCAGGCATTCGTTTTCTTGGGCCTCCGCTAATGATGCTAGAATCTTTCGTAGCCTGTTTCCGGTCACGGTTCGTCTGGCTAACAACCGTGCGATGGAAGTCAAGGTTTTCTCAGACCCCAATCTGGAGTTCACGACGGCTCGTGCCAGGGGCGACACCCACGTGGTTCTCCGCAACGTACCGCTGAGGTACTCTCCTGAGCGCATGCGCAGCACGCTTCTTGCGGGAACGACCGAGGCTGGATTGCCTTGGCTCTCGGACCTTCGCCTGTTTCATCGGCTCAAGGACCCTTACGACGACTCCGCGTACTCTCAGTTGCTCGGACTTCCCGTGGCAGCAGACGGTGATGCAAGTTTTGACTGCATTCCTGCGGTCCTTTGGCTCCCGGGACAGGAGGACCCAGTGCTCCTCAACATTTCATCCCACTCGTGCTCCGTTTGCTCCAGCAATCACCGTGCGGGTGATCACGCGTGCTTCGCCCTCACCCGCCGCGCGCGCCTCCCGAACCGTCACACCATCTCGGTGGCTCAGCTGCAATCTGTTAACGGTACTGTTGGTCGCTGGTTCCTCCTGTCTTTATTCTTGACGTTTTCTTTATTCTCCTTGTGGCATACCTTTCTCTAATTGAGTCTGGTTGCTGTAATCCGAGCTTTCCTGATCCGGTCCTCGTGGTACGACTTTTCGTCTCTTCCACCTAATCCTCTTTTGCGCAGAGGCTTTCTGCGCTTACATCTCAGTGCTGGTTCACTGTCTCTTTTCCCCTTCCCCAGGACGGCTGATTGGCCAGCAGCCTGCCCCCGCAGCGTTCAAGAAGGATCCCGGCCTCCTCCTGATTGGGATCGACCTGGACGTCGAGGTCTGGACGTGCTCCCTGTGCGACTTCGAGTGTGGCTTGGCGTTGGACAGCGCCATGTACCACCTCGCTTCAGAAACTCACCGCAAGCACCTGCAGGACTCGGCTCATCTGCCGGCAGTCAAAGAGAAATACGGAGCTTGGAGGGTCACTACGCTGTTGCAGCACCCTCGTATCACTGCGTTCCTGCAGTAGATGCGTCTCTGGCCGGCCGGGACTTTGCCCGCGTCTGTTTAGCCTTCCAGCTGCTTTCTGGGCCTCAACGCCTACGCTTTTGCTATGCCTTGTCGCTGTATCCCTTGCAAAAGTACTTCCTTGCGCTGGTGAGGCTCTGTGCCTGCACAGCATCTTTTTCCATCTCTCTTAACCACGCCCTGTGGATGCACATGCCTCAGCATGTGAGGGCCCTACAATTCTCAAAATGTTAATCCCCCTCACCATCCGATGCATAAATGTCAATGGGCTGAACAAACAACAAAAAATGTACGATCTTCGCTCGTGGGTATCAAAATGCGACCGCAAAACTGATATTTTAATTTTAATTGACACTAGGCTCACCCTGAACTTCTCCCGACTCCTCCTGTCCTTCAGACCCTCATCTCATGCACAATGTCCTCCTCCGTTTACAGATCGAGCTAAACCTGGTGGCATTGCAATTGTTATCTTTAACAAAAACATCTCCATTTCCTCTATCGAACCCTCCACAGTCGGACGTCTACTCTCGCTACACATCAACTTCATGCAGGAACAATTCCGCATCATTGCCGTTTACGCACCTTGCACTGTTACCCTCAGAAGGCAATGGTGGCGTGCTATCTTCGCCCCAGCGCTTGACATGCCAACCGCAGCGGTTGGAACCATCCTAGCCGGAGATTTCAACGCGGTATGCGCTCCGGAGGATCGTAACCGGCCTCTACTCAGTCACGAGGTCTCGGAAGGGTCCATCCTATCCACTATCCTTTCCAACCACTGCCTCGCTGACACGTTCAGGAAAATGTGTCAGTAGATCTGCACTGTGGATGCCCGATTGATCCTGGAGAGGGTTACAGGCGCGTTCGCCTGGGGGGTTATGGGCGCACTGACCCGCTACTGAAACAAGCCCTTTTATCCCAGTGGTCTAGTGACTGGGATTCTGACAAAATGTTCCCTGCAGCCACTATGTTTTCTTTTTTTGTGATCCCAAGGCTAAACCAGGATGACTCACCACCTTCTGCGTCGCGTCTGGACCGCATTTACGTCACAAACTCCCTGGCGGCTCGATTACTCGATGCCGCCTATATCTCTGTTTCGAAGGACGTGACCGACCATGATCTCTCCCCATACTGCACCTTGCAATGCGACAGCCCCAATGTTGCCCCCAGACCATGGCGCATCCCGCTGAATATATTAAAACGCCCGCAACTTGCGCACATCGTAAGCTCAGCCTGCAGCACTCTCCCTTCCGCTTTCTCCGCCGAAGATTGGGATCCATGGAAAACGGTCCTATGCAATCGCGTCAAAGCATTTGCAGGACAAGAAAAAATCCGGGTCAAGAAGACCAACGCTCACCTTCAAAACCTCACCTGCCAGCTCCGCATACACCTTGCGGTCAATCCAACCGATTTAGAAGCCAAAGAGCGCTTACGCGTAGCCTCGTTACAGTTTGAGCGCTATGAGGCCAGCCGCTCCGCAGAGCTCGCGCTTAAAGCGAAGCTTAAAGTCGAGGGTCCACGAGAAATGGGTGTTTCGTCCTTACTGGTTGGCGTGAACAGCATAATAAAAGCCTCTCTAATCTCCTCCCTGCAGTCCCCCTCTGGTGACGCCATTTCTGACCTCCCTGGCATGTCCTCGTTGTGCATTTCCTTTTTCCAACAGCTATACAGCGGATCTCAACGTGTCTCCCCAGATCCCTCCTTCTGGTCCCACATTCCTCCCTCTCAAGTGCCACACGATGTGTCCCCCCGTCTCTCCCTCCCCTTCTCCCTAACCGAGGTCTCCAAGGCCATTGCATCGCTCCCCAGAGGCAAGACCCCTGGGCCGGACGGGCTATCTGGTGAGCTTTTTCGCACCTTCCGTACCCAGTTCGCACCTGTGCTTCACTCATTGTTCCTCGGGTCCCAGGGTAGTCTCCCACCTTCCATGTTGCAAGGCCGGACTGTTCTCATCCCAAAAAAAAGCGACGCCACAGTGGTCGATAACCTTCGGCCCATCACACTCATGAACACCGACTACAAAGTTCTGGCGATATGCTTGGCTAATCGGCTGCAGCCTCTCTTGCCCTCTCTCATCAACCACTCTCAGACCGCGTTCATCAAATCTAGGAAGATTGGCGATACCCTTAATGACACCCTTGATATCTTCGACTGGGCGACGGCACAGTCATTGCCTCTCCTCGCCCTTACGGTAGACATACGCAAAGCGTATGACTTGGTAGACAGGGAATTCCTTCTCACCTGCCTCGCTCACCTTGGGCTCCCCGCCTCCTTCATCCATTGGGTTAAACTCATGCACTCTGGGACCACCACCCGCATATCTGTCAATAATCTCTGCGGCCCCACCATCCCCGTGCAGACCGGTGTAAGGCAGGGCTGCCCGCTGGCACCACTGCTTTTCCTGTGTGTTATCGAGGTTTTCTATCGATACACTTCCTGTTTCTTGCCTGGTTTTCCTATCTCCCGCACCCAGACTCGCTTGATGGCTTGCTATGCGGATGACGTAACGATTTTTCTCAACACTGATGAAGAGCTCCGCGTAGCCTCGCACGCCCTTCTCTCCTTCGCCTCGGTCTCAGGGGAGCATCCCAATTGGGCTAAATGTTCCCTCATTCCGTTCAATATCCGCCCTTCTGACATAACCCGAGCAGGAGAGATCCCTATACGACAGGCCTCAGAGTTTGAACGAATTCTGGGTATTTTTGTGGGAAGCTCCGGTCTCACGGAGACAACATGGGGACACGCGCTTGCAAAAGTCAAGCGTTCAGCCAATCTCCTATCCAACCTTCATGCCACCTCTTCGTGCAGGAAACAGCTGGCCTCTGAGAATCTCAACTCTGCCCTTTCATTCCCCGGACGGTTCCAACCCCCCCCCTCCCCCACCACTAAGGCACTGGACGACGCTGTCGGCAATTTCCTCTCCGCGTCCAGATTCAAGTCGGCGGGCCGAACCACACGCCTCCTCACACACGCTGTCATCTACAATAAAGCTGAGCACGGGGGGTTAGGCGCAATCCGCCCCTCTATGCAGATCAACGCTCTGAACATTCAACGTGCTCTACGCCGTTTCTCCCCCCACCCCGGAGCGGCGGTAGCCAGGACCTGTGTGCCCATTCCTGTCGGTCTCCATGGGTTCCTTCTTCATTCTGACTTTGCTGATGCCCTCCCCCCTCCATCCCCTCTCGTCTTTGAGAAGAAGTCAAGAGCCTGCTGGAAGCGCAAGTTGAGGTCTCCCCCCCCCGCCAGGAGTTTTGGTGCATTTTAGCAGAACCAATCCCTTTCAACAGGTTAATCATTAACCATGGCGGTCGCCCTTTCGGGCGCATTCAAGACGAAGCCTTCCTAATCACTGAGGAGGTGCGCGTAGGGCATATTGTTCGACGTGATGCTACAGGAGCACGCCGCCTCACCGACCCCGAAATCATGGCCCAATACCCCCCCCGAAAATACCCGTGCAGCCGCAGGATCATCAAGGAGGTATACGAGGCCTTGCCCAAAGAATGGTGGGCCGCCCTCGCTTCATCCCACAGCCTTGTCCCCCTATATGCAGGAGATTGGGTCCTGTTAGTAGATGACATGTTCACCCCGCCCAGGAACGCGTTTGAGGTTGAAAATTCCCCTTCAGAAGAAGGCTTCTACGCTAACGTATTTGATGTTGATGGAACAGGTCGTATCGGAAAAGAAGCAGTGGCTCGTCGGCTTCTATCAACAAACAACACGGTGCCAGTCCACGTCTTTGACAAATGGCTCGGGGGCTCTTTCTGCTCTGGAGCTGGTCTGGCGGCGCGGATCCCACTTCTCGCAGACGGACTTCCATCCCTTGCAGCCATACGCGACCTCTCCTACGTTAAGCAAGAACTCACACATCCGCACAGGTGGACGAATCTACTACCATCCCCTGGTCCATCCATCTTTCCAGACTACAAACACGCCTTTCTCGCGTAACAACCTTCTTCACAACGAGATGTGCTTTTCCGGCTTTATGCGCTGGCGCTTCCGTCGGGGTCCAGATTCAGCTTCGCCCGAGACAAAGGGGTCCGTGCAGGATGTACCAGCGGCCAGCTAGAAACTCTTCCTCACCTGCTGTTCGAATGCGGCGTGGCCAGGCCTATTATCGAAGCCTTACAACGCACAGCCCAGCTTCATTTGGGAGTCTCCACTTCTCCTGAACTGACGCTGTTTCCACTCTCATCCTCGGCTGGGCAAGGAGCCCCGTGGAGTTTACTCGTGGGCGCGGCGGCGAAAACTATTTGGAACGCGCGATGCAGTTTTCGATATAGACAAGCGGTTACAAAAACAGGAGATGCGCTTTTTCAGGTTCTACGCTACTTCCTTCTCGCTTACAAGATCCTCATGTGGAAGTACTCCAAAGGATCTAAGAAGAAGAAAAACAAGGCCAACAGGATTGCCAAGCTGGCACAAACCCATCGCTTCTTCCAGTTTCCCGAACCCAACTGCCCTGTCATCCACCCCGAGCTTCGTGACACCTGGCTCCTCAACGGCGTCTTCCATCCGCCCTGAACCCCGTCTCCAGCCCTTTCCACATGTCCGCTAGAGATTTGTCCTGGACATCTCTGCTCCAGTAGCAGGAGGATAACGTGTTCACACGTGCTCCCTTTGGGGAGCTGGGCTCTGCTTGTATCCTACTCTAGTTGCATGTTTGTAAAAGGTCACGACCTAAGAAAAACCTTTAAACCTTTAAACCCCTGTCTGAGGCACGGAGGGGCGGAAAGTGCCCCCCGCTAGCACTGTAGCTCCCTACGAAGCGCGGGGTCCCTAGTAGTACCCCCGCGAAAGCTACTTACCCTATTTGACCTGCATAATCATCTCGTTACGCACAACTGATGTTGCATGGCAGAACCACGCCACGACTCGAGCTGATGATATGATCAATGTCTCCCCACATGCTCATGCCACGTGGCGTACCCTCGACGCCCCAGACTGAATTCATCTGCAGGTTCTGCTTTTGGTAGGCTGGACGCCAACGTACCAGCCAGCCTGGGAGCGGCGGCAACCGAAGCATCAAGAGCCAGCGACCAGCGACGCGACCTCGGTTCATGGAGGTTCGGATTCGCCCGAACGCGCGCCAGGCTTGCGCCTGGGAAATGTCGACCGCTCTGCGGCCCTACCAATTTCAGAGCGTGCGGCTCTAGCATGCGGCTCGGGGGCGCGCACGAACGAGGGAACGAGGGCGGCGACAGAGTCAGAAGATGCCTCAGAACTGGCCACGTGGGGCGTGCGACGGTGCGAAGGGGACGGCGGACTCAGACGGGCTCTGCGGGATGCACCACGCGTCTCAGCTGCGCGCAGTCGCTCACAGAGAATTCGCTCGGTCCGAGACGTCGTTCCGCTGATAGGTTGTATCGTGTTCCTGTCCGGCGTTTGTTCACCCCTTGACATCGGCTACCGGGAAGATCCGCTAGTACCGTATCGGATCCACAGCGAACCGTCGTGAGGTGATGCTTGAGTCGACTCGGAAAATCAGATCAGCTAACGCATCGGACACACAGGAAGGCGCTGTGAGGCGATTATTGTGTCAGACTCGAGAATCAAATCGGAGACGTAGGAAACGTCGCGAGGCCTGGAAGCAGTAGCGGGGTGGAAGAGCGGGCGTGAGTGTGCACTGCGTGGGGGGAGGCGCGTGAGTGCGAACTGCGTGGGGGGGGGAGCGGGGGGGGGGGGGGGGGGGAGGGGGAGGCGCGTGATTGCGCACTGCGCGCCGCTGCAGGAGCAAAAGGGGGGTAGAGGAGGAGCAGGAAGCGCCAAGGACAGGGAGTGCGGGAAAGCTCCCATAGGGGCAAGACAAGAGGGTTGGGGCGGCAGCAGCCTGCCTGCGGCAGAGGAGTGGGGATGGGTGGGCGTTGGTGGCAAGCGGTGGTGAGGCGCCTGAGTCTCGTGCAGCGAAGCAAGGCGCCCCTGAGGTACAGCAGAGATCCCTGGCAGGGTGGGCGCGCTGGGGGAGCCAAGGGGGTTGCGGGGGCGGAGGGGTTTGGGGGGACGGGACTGATGGGCGCACCAGAGGGAGTTGCGTCGGACAGGGGAGGGGGGTGGGGGTCGCTGCTGGGTGTGTGTGCTGCAGGGGCGGCTGGGTGTGCGATGGTGGATTTGGGCGTGGAAAAGGGGAAAGAAGCTGCTGGCGTGATGGCGGATTGGCTGCTGCTACGGGTGGAGTGTGCTGACGTGGCTGGTCTTAGTGCCAGTATGGAATCTGATGATAGCGGATCATTTGTGAAAAACCCTAAATTTGGTAACGCTGGTGGGGTAGGTGGGGCAGGTGGTGGGAATGAGCGCAACGGGAGAAGCAGCAGCAGCAGTGCAAGCGCCAGCAGCAGTGAAATTGCTGCTACGAGCACCTCAAATAGCAAGCCCAGCAGCGGCACTAATTGCAGGAAGCGAGTGGTGGTGCTGGGGTCGGGGTGGGGTGCAGTGAGCTTTTTTAAAGCCATAGACGCGCATGGGTACGATGTGACGCTCATCTCGCCCCGCAACTTCTTCCTCTTCACGCCGCTGCTGCCAAGTGTCACCACAGGAGTGGTCGAGGGCAGGAGCATTGCTGAGCCAATTAGACGCATCCTGCTGAGGGTGAGTTCTCAATCAATCACATGCTGCCAGCAATGCCATGCAATCCGTGTCCTTAATGAGTACAGTGGCAAAGCCTTCTCTCCTGACTTATCCATCCCTTTTCTCCCGCTGCCCCTCGCCCCACTCACCTCCTCTCCCGCCCGCCTTCCTCTCACCAGCAGCCTATCACCATGCAGCACAGATCGTTTCAATGCAGCAAAGTCCCCGAGGCGGGTCACCATTGGAGTTTCAAGGCAGTGCCCCCCCCTCACCTACGACTTACCACTGCCTGCCCTCCACATCCACCCTGCGCCCACACACATCGCCCTTGCCTCATTCCTCCCCCGATCCCCCTGTGCTGGCAGCATAGCAGCTCGGCGCGCTTCCTCGAGGCCGAGTGCATTGCCATCGACCTCTCAACTGGCTGCCTCCTTATCCAGGCCACCCTCTTTCCCTCCTTGCCTCCATCCTCCTTCCGACACCCCCCGTCCCCTCTGCCACTCTCCTTGCTGGCACTTTCTCGAGGCGGAGTGCATTGCCATCGACCCCCCATCCGACCTGCAACTGGCTGTTCTCCCCATACCCTCCTGTGCCCTCTCCTTCCCTGCTGGCAGCACGGCAGCTCAGCTCGCTTCCTCGAGGCGGAGTGCATTGCCATCGACCCCGCCTCCAAGACCCTCTCCTGCCGCGCCCCTGCCGCCCTGCCCGCTGCCACGCTGCCCGCTCCACTGCCCATGCCGGCTATGGCAAGGGTTGGAGGCCAGGAGGAGGGTGAGGGGGAGACGACACGAGGAGGAGCTGAAAGAAAAGGTGGTGGCGCTTCTGGTGGCAATGGTGGTAGTGGTGGTGGTGGTGGTGCTGCTGCTGCTGCTGCTGCTGCTGCTGCTTCGAGTGGTGGTGATGCTGTTGATGGAAGCGTAGCTGCTGCTGGGGATAACTCTGGCGGTGAGGCGAGGGGAGAAGGTGGGGGCGAGAGTGGCGGCGCCAGGGAGGTTCACTTCACAGTGCCGTACGACATGCTGGTGGTGGCCGTGGGAGCGGTCCCCAACACGTTTAACGTGCCTGGCGTGCAGCAGCACTGCCACTTCCTCAAGGTGAATAGTGGGCACGGGGCACCGCCTGGTACGGGGCACAGGGCACGCACGGGGCTTCGGGCACTGAGCACGGGGCACAGGGCAAGCACGGGGCTTTAAGCACTGAGCACGGGGCACAGGGCACGCACGGGGCTTTAAGCACTGAGCACGGGGCACAGGGCAAGCACGGGGCTTTAAGCACTGAGCACGGGGCACAGGGCAAGCACGGGGCTTTAAGCACTGAGCACGGGGCACAGGGCACGCACTGGGGGCGGATAGAGTCCCTTGCTTCCGCAAGGCAGGCATCTGGTGGGGCTTCCTTCTGCACTGCAGGTGCCTCGTTGCCGGTTGCTGTATCGCTGCCTGCTTGCTCCTGCTGTTCTTGCCTCTTCTGCATGTTTCCCTTATGTTTCGCTGCTACCTCTCACTCAAGACTAGTCACTCACATCACACAACCCTTGCTGTCCCACACTCCTCGGTTCCTTGGTCTCGCTGCCCGTGCCCATCCTCCTCTCCCCATCATCCGTCTCTCTGCCAAGCCCTGTCTCCTCTCCATCCCCATCCCCCTCTCTCTCCCCTCCCCCAACAACCTGCCTCCCAACCCCCATCCCGCATTGCACCCATCAATCTGTGGATGATGCAGAGGCCATCAGAAACACCCTCATTCTTCTCTGTGAGGCGGGGTGCCTTTAACCCCCATCCCTCTTCCCCCCATCCCTCCCCCCCACCCCCCTCTCCCCCCACCAGTCGCTGGACGATGCAGAGGCCATCAAGTCTCGTCCCCCCGTCTCCTCCCCCCCCACCACACTCTCTCACTTCTCCCACCACTTTCCCCCCACCTCCTCTCTCTCTGCCAGTCTCTGGACGCTACGGAGGCCATCAGGAGCACCTTCATCGATCGCTGTGAGGCGGGGTGCCTTTATCCCCCAGCCCTCTTCCCCCCGCCCATCTCTCCCCCCCACACTCCTCTCCCTCTGCCAGTCGCTGGACGATGCAGAGGCCATCAGAAACACGCTCATCGACCGCTGCGAGGAGCACCCCACTTACCCCCTATCCCCGTTCTCCCCATCTCTTCCCCCATCCAATTGCCCCCATCCCTCTCGCCATCCCCCTGCCAGTCACTGGACGATGCAGAGGCCATCCGAAACACCCTCATCGACCGCTTCGAGGCGGCGTCTTTGCCGGGAATAGAAGCAGAGGAGCAACACCGGTAGCAAGCTCCGCTTCTCCTTCCTCTGTGCCGCTCTCTCTGCTTCTGCTGCCTTTCTCTCTCTCCCACTCCATCCACCACTTCTTCGCGTTTCCCAGCCTTCCGCCACTACCTTGTGCACGCTGTACACCCCTCTGCACCCGTCTGTGTCCCTCTGCACCTTTTGCTAAGAGTCCTTGTGTACCTCCACTTGAAACCCTGTGTGTCTCGCTGTGCCCTACCCTGCAACCCCTACCCTGCACCCCCCAACCCCATCACCTCCCACCCCTCACCAACCCTCACTCAATTTTTACTCCTCAACCCTGCCCCAAGGTTGTTGCACGTAGTGGGAGGCGGCCCCACGGGGGTGGGGTTGAACGGCATTGCCTTGTCTTACCTTCCCATCACCTCCCTTCCACCTCTGGTTCCTGCACGCATTTACCTTCCACCTCCCTGCCTGCAGTGGTAAGAGGGCCCTACGGGGGTGGAGGTAAGAGGGTAGAGGGCTCCTCACTTCTTGCCTTACCTTCCTATCACCCCCCTTCCACCCCCCAGGCTGTTGCATGTGGTGGTCGTGGGGGGCGGCCCCACAGGAGTGGAGGTGGCAGCAGCAGTGCACGACATGGTAGAGGGCGACCTTTACCGTCTTTATCCCGCCCTCAAAGGAAAGGCGTCTGTGTCTCTGCTGCAGTCAGGCGACCACATTCTCAACATGTGAGAAGATTGGGCACTCTCAGGGGGCTTTTGAGGGGCCTGACGGGGGTGGACGGAGGTGGCAGCAGCAGTGCACGACATGGTAGAGGGGGACCTCTATCGCCTCTACCCCACACTCAAAAAGAAGGCGTCTGTTTCGTTGTTGCAGTCGGGCGACCACATCCTCAACATGTGAGATGCGATGGGCTGCTCTCAGGTTGGTTGGCTTGCCGCTTGCCTCTCGTGAGTGGAGGTGGCAGCAGCAGTGCACGACCCGACATGGTAGAGGGCGACCTTTACCGCCTCTACCCCACACTCAAGGGGAAGGCGTCTGTGTCCCTGCTGCAATCAGGCGACCACATCCTCAACATGTGAGATTGGACTGGGTGCTCTCATAGGGGCCTGCTGAGGGCGACCTTTACCGCCCGTACCCTTCCCTCAGAGAGGAAGGCGTCTGTGTCCCTGCTGCAGTCAGGCGACCACATCCTCAACATGTGAGATACAAACTGGGTGCTCTTGGGGGTGCTCGTGGGGAGGTTGGCTTGCTTCATGGGGAAGGGGTGGAGGTGGCAGCAGCAGTGCACGACATGGTAGAGGTGGCTTGTCTCATGACCTCTACCTCCTCTATCCTGCCCTCAAGGGCAAGGCGTCCGTCTCTCTGCTGAAGTCAGGCGATCACATCCTCAACATGTGAGATTGGATTGGGTGCTCTCGGGGGCTTTTGAGGGGCTTAACGATGGTGGAGTGGACGTGGCAGCAGCAGTGCACGTCACGACATGGTAGAGGGCGACCTTTACCGCCTCTACCCTGCACTCAAAGGGAAGGCGTCTGTGTCGCTGCTGCAATCAGGCGATCACATTCTCAACATGTGAGATGGGGTTGGGTGCTCTCAGGGTGCCTGGGGCTGCCTTGCATCACAGGCGCGGAGGTGGCAGCAGCAGTGCACGACATGGTGCAGGGGGACCTCTACCGCCTCTATCCTGGCCTGAAGGGGAAGGCTTCTGTCTCTCTGCTGCAATCAGGCGACCACATTCTCAACATGTGAGAAGCGATTGGGTACTCTCAGGGGGCTTCTGAGGTGAGGCATAGAGTGCATGGCACAGGGGACCTGTACCTACCTCCTATACCCTCTTCTCAGTTTCTCTGCTGCACTTTTGAGTCGACTCAAAAGTCAACTCATGAGTCGACTCAAAAGTCAACTCACAGGGGACCTGTACCTACCTCCTATACCCTCTTCTCAGTTTCTCTGCTGCACTTTTGAGTCGACTCAAAAGTCAACTCATGAGTCGACTCAAAAGTCAACTCACAGGGGACCTGTACCTACCTCCTATACCCTCTTCTCAGTTTCTCTGCTGCACTTTTGAGTCGACTCAAAAGTCAACTCATGAGTCGACTCAAAAGTCAACTCACAGGGGACCTGTACCTACCTCCTATACCCTCTTCTCAGTTTCTCTGCTGCACTTTTGAGTCGACTCAAAAGTCAACTCATGAGTCGACTCAAAAGTCAACTCACAGGGGACCTGTACCTACCTCCTATACCCTCTTCTCAGTTTCTCTGCTGCACTTTTGAGTCGACTCAAAAGTCAACTCATGAGTCGACTCAAAAGTCAACTCACAGGGGACCTGTACCTACCTCCTATACCCTCTTCTCAGTTTCTCTGCTGCACTTTTGAGTCGACTCAAAAGTCAACTCATGAGTCGACTCAAAAGTCAACTCACATGGGACCTGTACCTACCTCCTATACCCTCTTCTCAGTTTCTCTGCTGTACTCGGGTGACATACCAGGTGGCCTGTCCGTGTCTCGAGCCATGGCTAGGATTGTGAGTCCCACTCAACAATGCACACCTGCACATGGGCCAGCCCTCCCGTCTGCATCCGCCATCCCCACAGCCTTCCCCCTCTCAGCTAAAACCTCACTTTTTCCCAATATCCCCCTGCCGTCCCTCTGCCCTCTCCCTGCTTCCGCCCTGCACTCTCCCTGCTCCCCCCCGCCCTCCCCCTGCCTCCCCCCTGCCCTCCTTCCCCCTGCCTCCCTCTGCCCTTCCCATGCCTCCTCCCTCCCCTCTCCGTGCCACCCGCTATCAGGTTTGACTTGCGCATATCTGAGTTTGCCGCCCGCAAGTTCCAGCGGGACGGCATCACTGTTCACACGCACGCGCGCGTCACGGCTGTCACCCCGCGCGCTCTCCATGTGCGGGAGACGAGCAGCAGGGGGAGCAGCAGCAGCGATGGCAGTGGGAGTGGAGGGCATTCTAGTAGCAGCAGTGCAAAGAGCAGCAGTGTGAGCAGCAGCAGTGAGAAGAGCAGCAGTGGGAACAGCAGTGGCAGTACGCAGGGCAGCAGGGAGAGGGAGGTGCCGTATGGAGTAGTGGTGTGGGCGACAGGCATCACGGCCCATCCCCTCGTTGTGCAGCTAAGGGAGCAACTGGGGCAGGTAAGGTTTGGGGCAGGTAAGGTTTGGGGCAGGTAAGGTTTGGGGCACTTACACACTGCGAACAGCAGCAGTGGTGCGTAAAGCAGGAGGCAGAGGGAGATGCCGTATGCCTATGGAGTGGTGGTGTGGGCAACAAGCATCGCGGCACATCCCCTCGTTGTGAAGCTGAGAAAGCAACTGGGGCAGGTAAATGGATGGCATTGTGGATGCCATGGAAGGGAGCGATAGAATGAGATTCTGAACACTCCATGCACGAGCACCCTCTCTCATTTTCCACTTTCTTTCTCAACACCAGGCATACGGTACTTGCTAGAGCGTAGAAAAATATATCAGCATTTGCTTCAGTATTATCAAACGCACGGAAATTTTCTTGGCAGGAAAGAAATTGAAGGGAAGTCCTTCTGCAAAAAAACTGTTATATATCAACCGCAGCCGCTCCATCCCCTCGTGCTCAGGTATCACAACAGAAATCGAAGTCTGGTGTGATGGAGAATTGTCTGACATGTCAAGAGTTTGCAAACACAATAATAAGTGTTTACACTTTAGGGTTCATAACATGTCTCATGCATGCCAAGCATGTGAGCTTGCCGAGAGAGGGCAACAAGTAAGGCGTCTTCAAATCTTGCACCCAGCACAACGGAGTTAACGCAAAAGCGATTACTAGAGCATGTAAAAATCAGCAAGACACACCCGTTCCTCGGAGATGAAGATGCTCTAGACCCGAAGATCCTGTATGACTTCTAGCAAAAAGGGTCACTGCTTTAGGGATGCTCTAGATCCGAAGCTTTAAGGCCTTCTAACAAAAGAGCTGCCGGGATCCTTCTTTCATATGAGTCATCTCCGCGCCCTTATCCTCAACGACGAATGAGCCTTGGAGAATCCCGATTTCGCAAACCTCACAGCCCTTTTTCACCGTTTTGTCACCTTTCCCTGGACTCTTCTAGACTTGGCTACCCTCCTTCGCCTCCCACGACTTACCCATCTGACCACCTTTGCCGCATACTTGGAGCATCAGCCCTCGACGGTTGCTGCAAGCATAGTGCTGCCGACTTGCCTGAAGTCGCTCACTTTTGAACAAAAGTCGGCAAACCGCAAAAGTGAGGGACTCCAGGCAAGTCGGCAGCACTATGCTTGCAGCAACAGTCGAGGGCTGATGCTCCTGGTATGCGGCAAAGGTGGTTAAATGGGTGAGTCGTGGGAGGCGAAGGAGGGTGACCAGGTCCAGAAGAGTCCAGAGAAAGGTGACACAGACGACGGTAAGCGCTGTGAGGTTTGCGAAATCGAAATTCTCCAAGGTCCATTCGTCGTTGAGGATAAAGGTGCGGAGATGGTTCATATGAAAGAAGGATCCCGGCAGCTTTTTTGTTAGATGACCTTAAAACATCTTCGGGTTTAAAGCATTTCTAAAGCAGAACCCTTTTGTGTAGAAGGATTCTAGTTCAAATTGTTTCCTACCGCAAATGCTGATATATTTTGCTACTCTTAACATGTTACGTATGCCTTTCACTCCTTTCAATTTTCACATTCTTTTTCAATGAACTGCTCACGTACACCCCCCCGCCCCCTCTGTGCACCCCTTGTGCAGCATTTCTTAGGCTCCCTCCAGCCTTACACTCCGCGTTGCAATGCATCACTGCGCGGCAGGAAGTGCATAGACGACAGGGGCGGGTGGCAGAGGCAAAGCACGCTGCACATGCGCCACGCCCCCTACTCTCCCTCCACTTTCTCTTCCCTCCTTTGCACCAGCATCCACCCCCTCTCTTCTCCATGCTGCACCACAGCTGTGCATTACAGGTGGACGAGTGGATGGCATTGAGAGGAGAAGAATAGGCCTTTGTTAATGTGAGGTGGGCCTGATACCCACTGGCATCGTCCCCCCACCCCTTCCTCCCTGCCCTCCTGCAGCACCACGAGCGAGCATTGTAGGTGGACGAGTGGATGGGAGTGAGAGGAGCACGGGCTTTGTCAAAAAGACCTTTAGTCCCTGGCATCCTCCTTTTCTTTTGCGTCTCCCCCTCCTTCCTCCCCCGGCGCCCCTGCAGCACCACAAGCGTGCATTAGAGGTGGACGAGTGGATGGCAGTGAGGGGCGCAGAGGCGGGCAGCATGTGGGCGCTGGGCGACTGTGCTGCCATTCACCACCGCCCCTTCACTGTGAGTTTGAGTAAGACACGGGTTGGCATGGCAGCTTGTGGTGGGGAGCATGTGAGGGGGGCAGCATGTGAGGGAGCCAGCATGTGAGGGGGGCAGCATGTGAGGGGGGCAGCATGTGAGGGGGGCAGCATGTGAGGGGGCAGCATGTGAGGGGGGCAGCATGTGAGGGGGGCAGCATGTGAGGGGGGCAGCATGTGAGGGGGGCAGCATGTGAGGGGGGCAGCATGTGAGGGGGGCAGCATGTGAGGGGGGCAGCATGTGAGGGGGGCAGCATGTGAGGGGGGCAGCATGTGAGGGGGGCAGCATATGGGGCTGTCTGTACCCATCAGCCCCCTCTCCCACCCCCTCCACCTACACTTCCCTTCACCCCTCTTCTGTCCCATGTGCTCCCGGTTTGTTCTCAGATCGCAATAGCTCATCTCTTTCCCTTGTCTCCGACAGTTATTGCCGTCCCTTTCCTTGCACTCTCTCCTCCCCTCTTTCTCCCCCCTCCCCTCTTTCTCCCCGCTCCCCCCCCCCCCCCCCCCCCCCCCCCTTTCTCCCCCCTCCCCCATCCGCCCCTTCATGTCCCCTCACGTCGCGCCTCCGTTTTCCCGCCTCTTTCCCCCACCGCTACGCCCCGTCCAACCCCTCGCATGATCCCCGTGCAGGACGAGGCAGCTCGCATATCCCTTACTCTCGCCTTCTTCCCTGTCCTTCCTTGCCCCCCTCCGTCTCCCATGTCACCACTCTGCTCCCATCACTGTGCGGCCAGGACGACACAGCGCGCATGTTCCGAGCCTTTGACACCAACGGGGACGGCTGCCTCTCGCCCTCCGAGACCAAGGCGGCCCTGCGAGCCCTCCAGCAGCGCTACCCGCATGCTGCCGCTCTGCTCAGGTCACGGGACCGCATGGCACAGCTCATTCAGGTAAACCCCCCTCCTGCTCTCTTTGTGCTCCCGCCCCCCATTAAGCACTCTGACTGCTACCCGCATGCTGCCGCTCTGCTCAGGTCACGGGACCACATGGCACAGCTCATTCAGGTGCATTCCCCTCCCTTTACCTACTGCCTTGCACCATCTGAGACCAAGACGACTCTTCGATCCCTCATGCTAGTTCTGTGCTACCCGCATGCTGCTGCTCTGCTCAGGTCAAGGGACCGCATGGCACAGCTCATCCAGGTAATCCCCCCGCTTGGTGTCCCCAGTCTGCCACTCACCTGCTCTGCAAAAGTCAAGAGACCGCATGATGCAGCTTATTCAGGTATACCCCCCTTTCCTCGCCCGCTCCCATACACTTTCTGAGACCAAGGCGGCCCTGCGAGCCCTCCAGCAGCGATACCCACACGCTGCTGCTCTGCTCAGGTCACGAGACCGCATGGCACAGCTCATTCAGGTACGGCTCCCTCCCTTTACCTGCTGCTGCCTCGCACTATCTGAGTTCAAGTCTGCCACTCACCTGCTCTGCTCATTCTCTAGAGGAGCCCAATTTAACTTGGACAGATCCCAGAGTCATTCGTAACCCACCTTTTCCCGCAGCTCGTTTGCTAAGCTAGCCCCACTTTGACAAGGTGTCACTGTGTCTCGTCCTCTATCATGACGCCGCCAAGACTCAATCAACGTTACCCCAACAAACCTCACGCCATCCATCTTCCGAGATTTCTAGCCTCTTTATGAACAAGACCGTCCCCACCACAACAACTTACCGTTGCCTCTGTTTCCTCCAATTCTAGACGCCTCTCGCGCAATCTGTCACGGATTTATCGTGAACTGCAATTCCCACGACGGTCGCGGTGACGCGCGACACCAACCTAGTCACCAGCGGTTGCCTTAAATTCGAGTAGGTGAGTTTCCTCCCTTTCGAAGCGCCTGTTTCTTGTGGCTAGTACTCAACATTACTTAAGGCAACAAGAAACAGACGTTTTGAAAGGGAAGAAACTCACTTACTCGAATTTAAGGCAACCGCTGGTGACTAGGATGGTGTCGCGCGTAACCGCGATCGTCGTGGAAATTGCAGATCACGATAAATCCGTTACAGATTTCGCTAGAGGCGTCTAGAATTGGAGGAAACAGAAGCAGCGGTTAGTTGTTGTGGTGGGGACGATCTTGGTCATGAAAGGAGTAGGCTAGAAGTCTCGGAAGATGGATGGCGTGAGGCTTGTTGGGGTAACGTTGATTGAGTCTTAGCGGCGTCATGATAGAGGACGAGACACAGTGGCGCCTTGTCAAGGTGGGGCTTTTGGGATTGCTTTGCAAACGAGTTGCGGGAAAATGTGGGTTACGAATGACTCTGGAATATGTCCAAGCTAAAATGGGCTCCTCTGCCACGAGCTAGAGTGACAGGAAGTGAGTACATGAGAGTACACGTGCTAGAGTGGCAGGAAGTGAGTACACGAGAGTACACGTGCTAGAGTGGCAAGAAGTGAGTACACGAAAGTGCACGTGCTAGAGTGGCAGGAAGTGAATACACGAGAGTACACGTGCTAGAGTGGCAGGAAGTGAGTGCTAGAGTGGCAGGAAGTGAGTACACGAGAGTACACGTGCTAGAATGGCAGGAAGTGAGTACACGAGAGTGCACGTGCTAGAGTGGCAGGAAGTGAGTACACGAGAGTGGCATCCCGTGTACTCACTTCCTGCTCTCCGAATGCCACCACGCACTCTCTGCGACCCAGACCGCCCTCCACAAAACCCTAACTGCGCTACCCCCATGCTGCTGCTCTGCTCACGTCAACGGCTCATTCAGGTAAGCCTCCCTTTCCTCCCCTGCCGCCCTACACTCGCTGAGACCAAAGCGACCTTCCGAGCGCATGCTGCTGCTGTGCTCAAGTCAAGCAACAGCTCATTCAGGTACACCAAGGCGGCGTGTAGAGGGGGTGTTTTTGAGACGTCTCAAAAACACCCTCTCTACAAGTCAAGCAACAGCTCATTCAGGTACACAGGTACACCAAGGCGGCCTCCCTTTACCTATCTTGTGCCTCTCTCCGAGACCAAGACGACCCTCCGAGCCCTCATGCTATAGCTGTGCTGCGCCCATGCTGGAGGATATGGGGCCGGGAGAGGACAATCTGAAGAGCGGGCTGTAGACTCATACTTTGCTGGCATTAGTTGAACCTTTTACCAATCTGCCCTCCACCCACATCCTATCCTCCTGTCACTTCCACACCACATTCTCTCCAGTCCCCTCTCCCGCCCGGCTCCTCCTCCCCTCTTCCTGTCGCCCGATTTCTGATTCCCTCACGGATGGGCGTTGGCAGGATGCATTGCATGGGGACAGCAAGGCAGGAGCACCAGCAGGCTCAGCGGTGCGGGGGAACGAGGGGGGCGAGCAGCAGGCGTGCGAGGGCAGGGGCCTGTCTCTAGAGCAGTTTGAGGTAGTGCTGCGGCAGGTGGAGGGGCAGGTGAAGACACTGCCGGCCACAGCACAGGTGGCGGCGCAGCAGGGGCAGTACGTGGCGCGCTGCTTCAACCGCCTGCTGGACCCTGCTCTACCTCCCGAGGGGCCGCCCAAGCTGAGAGGGGAGGGCAGGCATCTGCTGCAGCCGTTCCGGTGAGTGGAAGGGTGGCGTAGGTGGTAAGTTGGGATGCTTTGGAGCTGGTTAGTGTTATTGTTATTGCTTGTATTATTACTATCATTCATATTATTATCACATTCAGTCTTATGGACGTTTCTTAGCGTACGTTTATGCTCTTCAGGATTGTGTTTACTTGGAATGGGAAGCAGGAGGGAGGGAGTGGCGACACAGGTACTTGGAATGAGTCGACTCAAAAGCCAATTGCTTCTCACCCAACCCCACTCCTCCAACCTCACACCACACAACCCGCCATATGCATTTGGGGCAGTTCGCCCCTCTGGAGTCAGAGACCACAGCAGCGGAGCTCCCTACCTATCCCAACTGCTCTATGTGTGCGAATTGCTTGTTGTGACCCTGCCCCCCGACATGCATCCAGCTATGTCCATCTGGGGCAGTTCGCCCTGCTGGGGTCAGAGACCCCGACAGCGGAGCTGTCAATCTATCCCAACTGCTCTGTTTGTGCCAATTGCTTGTGACCCTGCCCGCAACATGCAACCAGCTATGTCCACTTCGGGCAGTTCGCCCCTCGGGGTCGGAGACCACGGCTGCGCCTTTTGTGACGTCTGAAAACCCCCCTCCGCGCCCCCCCCCTCTCCATCCCCCCTCCCTCCATGCATGCATCCAGCTATGTGCATTTGGGGCAGTTCGCCCCGCTGGGGTCGGAGACCACGGCAGCAGAGCTGCCTGGCGACTGGGTCAGCATTGGCCGGTCCACTCAGTGGCTCTGGTACTCCGTGTATGCCAGGTGGGTGCGATGATGAAGGCCTTTGGTGGCTCTGGTACTCTGTCTATGCCAGGTGGGTGTGCTGCACTCTGTGTCGACAGGTGGGTGTGTTGTGCAGAATGGGTGCTTGCATTCATGTTCTTCACTTGCAGGTCCACACAGTGCCTCTGGTAATCCATGTATGCCAGGTGAGTGCGCTGTGCAGTATGGGTGCATGCATGTGCTTTGATTGGAGGTCCACACAGTGGCTCTGGTACTCTGTCTACGCCAGGTGGGTGTGTTGTGTACCGTATTGTGGGTGCGTGCATTCTTAGGCAGCAGAAATGCTGCAGCGCACTGGGGTCCCTTCTTAGGATCCTTCCAGGAAAAATGCTGCAGCACTCTCTTACTTATGCTTCCCCGTGTCTCACTCTCCTTGCAGTAAGCAAGTCAGTGCGAGGACAAGAGCCCTGGTGGTGTTTGATTGGATCAAGTCGGCTCTATTTGGCCGTGATTCAAGTCGCATGTGAATACGGTAGTGTTGTACTTGCTTAATTGGTTGGTTGATGTTGGGCTGAGAAAGGCTCGTAGGATCTTTTCAAGGCTAAAATCTTAGGTAGGAATAATGTGATTGCGGAAGCGTTTAATGACAAACTGTTGAACCACCTTGCGCTGGTATGTGAGGGCAAGATAGATTGATTATAGCAAAGGAATACCAGATTTTATAAGATTACAAGAAATATGAAAATATGCAACTACCGTATGGCCCCGGATATAGGCGCCGTCCGATTAAAGGCGCCGGCGCTTTTATCTGGAGCCGCTTATGGCCGGAATTCGATAATAAGCGCCCCCCTGTAAAACCACGATATATTATAAGCGCGTGCATGATTTATTTTCCAATTTTGATTAAAACAGTAACGAATTTCAACTTTCCAGCGAGTCAACACCACATTTTCACTTTGTTTGACTTTCGATGACCTCACAGGTTGCGCGTCCATTCAGTATGAGCTGGCACGCGGGCAAAATGACGTGCCAAGGCTCTGTGCACCGTCAAAGAATCGCCTTCGCGCGATTCTGTTTCTGGACGCTGTAAAATTTCGATTCGATTCAATTTACAAGACTGAAATGTAAATATTGGTGCGTTTAAGTTGTATTTCTGTATATGTCATTATATAAGCGCAGGCGCTTATGGCCGAAATTCAATTACAAGTGCCCCCTGTCAGAATGTTATCTTATGCTCTAGCCTGTAGTGGGGTGCTCTATAGCGAGTACAACCCTTCTAGGGTTTCCTATTTGTATCCCCATTCTTGCTAGTGCAACCATCCTCTTCTCTCTTCTTTCTTCTAAACTTTAACATGCTATCAGAGCAGGTCGATCCCCTTGGATCGATCCTGTGGGTGGGCTCACCACCTTGTTGCTTCCGCTGCAACTGCTACTGCTACTCTCTGTGCCGCACGCCCCGTGGCGTGCGGCAGTTTTTCTTCCCGCCGTGCGCCCCGAGGCGCGCGGCGGTTTTCTGCCCGCCGTGCGCCCCGAGGCGCGCGGCGGTTTTCTGCCCGCCGTGCGCCCCGAGGCGCGCGGCGGTTTTCTGCCCGCCGTGCGCCCCGAGGCGCGCGGCGGTTCTCTGCCCGCTGTGCGCCCCGAGGCGCGCGACGGGCTTCTGCCCCGTCGTTCGTCGCGTCGCCCTCTGGAGGCGCCGCGACGGGCGACGGGGACCCGTCGCGGCCCCGCCGCCCCACTCTCGCGGCCCCGCCGTTTTCCTTCGCGGCCCCGCCACCTCCGGTCGCGGCCCCGCCACCTCCGATCGTGGCCCCGCCGCCCCACCATCGCGGCCCCGCCGCTTTCCTTCACGGCCCCGCCACCTCTGGCCGCGGCCCCGTCGTCTCGCCGCCCTACGTGCGGCCCGTCGCCCTACCTGTCGCGGCCCCGGCCCCGGCCCCGCCTCCCCCCCCCCCCCCCCCCCCCCCCCCCCTCCTTCGGGTTTCCCCTTTTCCCGTCGCCCGTCGCGGCTCCTTCGGGGGCCGCAAGCGGCCCCCTCAGGTCGCCTCGACAGGCGACGGGAGGGGCGAGCTGTGGGGTGGCGGGTATGGGGGTGGCCGGTGTGCATTCCTCCCTTTGCTCCTCCTCCTCCTTCGTCTCCCACTGCTGCAGCTGTCGCTGAGGGGGGTGGTTGTGTGGGAGACTGGGGTTTAGGGTTTAAGGGGGGTGCGTGGGAGTGGAGCTAGCGGTGTAGCAGCGGGTGTGTGTCGGGGGGGTGAGACTGTTTGGGGAAGTTGCACGGAGGTTGCCGTCGTGTCGCCAGCAGCACCTGTAGTCCGGGGACTTCGTCCGGTAGCCCAGTCGTAGACTTCTACGCCAGCCGCCCGTGGGTCCGTTGCTCGTCTGCCGCTACTTTAGCCGCGGGGCCTGTTACTCCTGTAGTCCGGGCGCTTAGTCCGGTAGCCGCTGTGCCAGTCTGCCTCCTGTTGCCCGTGTGTCTGCAGCTTCAGCCGTCGCCTCCTATCTCCTCTCCCCTCACTCTCTCTCCTCCTCCTCGCTTGCCCGTTGTGACTACCACTAGCTTTGCTCATAATTGTACCCTTTAAACTATTCCTTCTTGAACTTGTGCTCAGAATGTGTGGTGACATTGTGATCCACCCTGAGCTTGTACTGCTTTTCTTGCTCTGCTGATTACACCCCACTTTGGCTATGGGGGTGTGTCAGAATGTTATCTTATGCTCTAGCCTGTAGTGGGGTGCTCTATAGCGAGTACAACCCTTCTAGGGTTTCCTATTTGTATCCCCATTCTTGCTAGTGCTAAAATTTCTGTATATGTCATTATATAAGCGCAGGCGCTTATGGCCGAAATTCAATTACAAGTGCCCCCCTTAAAAAAATTGATTTAATTATAAGCGCATATGCTCTACTATCCGGGGTGATACGGTAACTGTTTTACTGTTGCTGTTGCGGTTCGATACAGTGACGACTCGGGCAACTGCTCCATACCGAGTCAGTTGTTTGTCCTTGCTGTCACGCTATATTTTGGCGAGTCAAAGGTCGCTGACCTTTGACCTTCGCGTAACCTCCAGCTGTTACGTTTTGTCAACCTCCTCAGTTGACTCGCCATAGCTTCGTTGTAACTTGCTTCGTTTACAGTTCAATGTTCCGTCACAACAGAAGCGTTAAATCACTTGTTTCCAACACTCCCCTTCGCTTCTGGAGTGCCGCTGCTGGTGACGTGGCCTTGTCCAGTCGGCATCATACAGTAATCAAACTTCTACTTTCCGAGTTTCTTGGTCAAGTAATCTGCTGCCATCTCGGATGTGGGGCAGTAGGATAGCTCGAGTCTCCCCTTATCGATCTCGTCTTTCACGAAGAAACATCGTAGGGCGATGTGTTTCGTTCGGTTCGCGAATCTGTTCTTGTTTGCTATGCATTGTTTGCACCTCCTTAAGGGAAACCGCGAAGATCCGTGCAAACAATGCATTTTTGGGCAGCCCGGCTAAACCCTGGTGGAGTAGGAAGCCACATATATGTGGTTGAAGTCTTGAGGCTAGCTGCAGCACCTAGGCATGAGCACGAGGCGAACTCGAACATGTTCGCGTTCGCCTTGGCTCGAACATGGCCGTTCGGCAAACCGAACACTGATCGGTTCGCCGAACGGGTTTCGCCCAAAGGCGTGTTCGATGTTCGCCTTTGAAGGCGAACATTTCGAACATAATGGCGAACACGAACGTGTTCGCCATGAACATGTTCGTGTTCGCCTCTGAGGGCTTTGCATACTAAAACACATGAGTAAAACACTACAAAGGGTTCCCGCTAGAAGGGTTTCCGGTTTGGTATTGATTTGACTTACCCTTGCCGTGTTCATAACAACTTTTAAGAGCATAATAAAAGTGCGCAATAGAACATGTCCACAGTCAAAGGACTACCTAGGATTCAACATGGGAGGGTCACCAAAGGGTCCCTCAATGCCCCCCGAACAAAATGAAAACTACAGCCCAGTCCCAGCCCCGCTACCAACACCACCATCCTCGCCACCACCCGCTGCTGCGTCCGCCCCTCTCCCATCCGCCGCGTCCTCCTCCACCTCCTCCGCCGCCTCCCCCTCCACCTCCTCCTCCGCCTCCTCCTCCTCCTCCTCCTCCTCTTCCTTCTCCTCCTCCTCTTCCCCTCCTCCTCCTCCTCCTCCTCCTCCTCCTCCTCCTCCTCTTCCTCCTCCTCCTCCTCCTCCTCCTCCTCCTCCTCCTCCTCCGCACCCTCGCCCCCAATAGCGATCTCCAGAGCTGCGACCCCTTTCGTGCGGCGGCCCTCGCTGATCCTCTGGCCTGGGTGCGATCCATACCACGATCTGAGAATCATGCAGGATCGCGCCCTTTCGGAGTTCAGGCGGTCACGCTTCCATGAAATGAGGTTGCGGCCCAAGGAGAACACACGCTCGCTCGTAGCAGACGTGGCAGGGATTGCAAGATAATCCCTCGCCATCCTCTTCAGCGTCTCCATGTTCGTGGAGGTGCGCCAGTACTCTAACGCTGACACGTCGTACCGCACCCTCTCGCACAAGTACCTGCTGACCTCATCATCCTGCACAAGACCACCCCCCCCCGCCGCCTGGCTCGCAGACAGACGCGCCGCAAGGCGTCGACGACTAGGGAGATACAGGTCGTCCTCGTCCTCCCCCCCCCCCTCTCCCTCCTCCTCCTCTACAACCGTGGGAAGTGTAGTGGGCCTAGGAGCCAGCTCCCTCGCCGCTGCCTAGTACTCGGCCACCCGATCACGTACCAGCGCGATCACCACGCTCGACGGTGGGCGCGACATATCCCTGCGCTCTGTCTCTGGATGCTGCGTCCCCTAGTGGGGGTCGTCGAACCACGCCGCCTTCATGGAAGGATCCAGGACGAGCAAACAAGAACCTGGCAGGATGTTAGAGGGGTGTTTCCTGTTCCCTTTGAACAGTGTTCCCAACCCCATCCTTATCCTTATCTTTTCAGATTTCCTAGTGCCACGTGGCACTCTACCTTTCTTGCTTCTACTTTCTAGTCCCACGAAGTACTTTCCGACATTCGACCTTGCATGCTTTATCATCCTTGCTTGTATCCACCAATATCAACCAGTTCTCATTCATCAATTACTCAGTTACTTCTTCGCCTATTTCGCCAACACATCTTTCGCCAAAGTCTCCCGCCGCGCTTTATCCTCAATTTAGTCAACCCCGCTATTCCTTAGCGAATTTAGGCCAAGGGGCCTAACACTTGGTATCAGGAGCCTTCGCGGGGAGCGACTTCCAACGAGCGACCGTCGACGACGAGACTACGACGTCATCGTCCCGCGGTGCCGACTTGCAGACTTGGAGTCGTCGAGCCGACATGGATGAAACCATGACCGCTTTCCCCAACGACATGGGCAACACGCTTGCTCAACTCATGCGCCAACTCGAAACGTTGACGCTGGAAAATCGTCAGATACGGGCTGAAATGCAACAGCTTCGTGAATTCTCGTCAATTTCTCATAGTCATGCCGCACCATCTCCTGCACCCAACACGTCGACTGGCGCGGAAGCGCTGCCGGAACGTCGAAGCGCACTAAAGCCGGAGAAACTTGAGTCGTTCGACCCAAGTCAACGCGACGCGAACGTGCGGACGTGGCTCTTCATGCTGAACAACTACTTCGCCGCGAGCGGGGTGCAAGAGGCGGACGCGCAGCAGCGGATCGAGTACTCAGTTACGCTGCTGAGGGGCCCGGCCTTGGAGTGGTGGCGCCAACTCACGCAAACTGCTGTAAGATGGGCTCAGACAGGCGGGCATCAACAGGGCGTGGGGCATGCAGCTGCAACTTCGAGCTTAGGGAGTTTAGCTTTGGGTCTTACCACGGTTCCGACCACATGGGATGGATTTGAAGCGGCGCTGAAAAGTAGGTTCGATTTGGTGAACGCCTCCGAAGCTGCTAGGAAGCGTCTGCGTCATTTCCGACAGATAGGAAACGTCTAGGAATACACACGACGGTTCTTGAGTATCTGCAACGAGATAGACGATATCACGGAAGCAGAGATGCGCGATCGCTACCTCGAGGGGTTGAAGCCGGACATAGCGGAGGTTATAGCGATTCACGGGTTGTCCACCTTCGAGTCAGTAGTCGCAGCAGCAGAACGCGTCGACGCAGTACGAAGCCGACGGGGTCGCGATGATCGCGATAGGGGATACAACAGACCGATCAACGACGCTCGATCGAGGGACGGACCATCGCCTATGGAGATCGGTGCAGTTAACAGTGACGGCTCGCAGCGAACGGGTTTTAGGGGGAACTATCACTACTGGAAAAAGACGGGACACATGAAGCGGGACTGCCTAGAGTTCAAGAAGCAGCAGCAGGGAAACGGAAACCGCCAGTAGATAGCGGGTCGCTAGCTGGTGTGGAGGTTTCCGTACCCGCCACGTCTACCAACGTAGAGGAGACGGCTTTGCAGCAGTCATCTACGGAGAACGAGGTAGACACTGTTGACCGACCAGTCGTGCTTCTAGGGAAGCTTCGCGGAGTTCCTGTTAAGATTCTCGTAGATAGCTGAGCTAGCCACTCGTTCGTGTCTTCATCGTTTGTCAGTCGCCTCCATCTCGAAGCAGATTCCGCAGTCAACTTCAAGGATGCTCGCATGGTAGATGGGACGCCTCTTCACATAGGACCGATCATCCGCAAGTTGCGCGTAGTACTAGAGCCGATCACAGTTAGGCGTAACTTCGACTCTGCGACGCTGGACGGTTACGACTTCATCTTCGTTAGGGATTGGCTATGGACGGTTAATATTCAGTTCGATTGGGCTCAGGGAAGCTGTAGCGTCAAAGTAGACGGGGAGTTCCAGGAGCTGCCACAGTGGAGCGATGGGGCCACATCATCTCTTAGAATGTAGAACTGAACGAGAATGGATGAAACTAGACAGCAGGGTGATACAAGTAGGAAACCCTAGCAATAGAACAGTACAGAAACGCTGATGATCACAAGGCTGAAGCGCCTTGGTGAACACATCAGCAGTGTTGGCCCGAGTGGCCACGTAGGCAAGACGAAGCTGACCTCGCTGCTGCAGCTCTCGAGCAAGGAAGTAGCGTAGAGCGATATGCTTCGTTCTGTGCTCCAGTCTGTGCTCCTGACACAAGGCAATGGTAGCCTTGTTGTCGACGTACAGCACTGGAGGAGAACGAGGCCGCTCTCCCAGGTCAGTCAGCAGGTAGGTGAGCCAGCGTAACTCCTGTGCAGCCATGGCTGTGGCGTAGAGCTCAGCCTCACAACTGGAGCTGAGAACTGAAGACGAGCGAGTAGAACGCCAAGAAACTGAACCAGAGCCAAGGCTGAAGGTGTAACCCTGAGACGACCGCTGAGTAGCCTGGTCGTCAGCCCAAGAAGCGTCTGAGTGCCCAGTGAGGACAACTCGAGCCCGTCCTCCAAGCACGAGCCCCATGCCCGACGTACTGCACAAGTAGCGCAACACCCTCTTAGCGTCATCCATGTGCTCCTTCCGGTGACGGCCAGGAGCGACATAGCGTGCTAGGATGCTAAGAGGGTATGCAAGGTCAGGTCGAGTGCAGGTCATCAGGTACGTCGAGTGCAGGTCATCAGGTACATGAGGCAGCCCACAAGCTCTGGATACGGGCCACTCGGCTCTACGGACTCATCCGAAGGCAGAGCTGAGAGCGAGTGACCGGTAGGCAGAGGAGTGGCCTGAGGCGAGGAGTACGTGAAGCGGAAGCGCTGAAGGACCTGCTGTACCATGTGTGACTGAGTCAAGGTGATGGTGCGCTGTGCTCTGTCCCGGGTGATCCGCAAGCCAAGATAGCTTGTCAGTTCACCCAGGTCTGTGCACGTGTGTCTCTTCTGCAGCTCCGACTTCACGTGGGCGAGTGCCTCAGTGTCAGCAGTAGCAAAGACCGAGTCGTCTACGTAAACGAGAACGTAGAACGGCGGCAGAGTGGTGTCGGTGCGTAGAAACAGCGACGGGTCAGCAGCAGAAGGAGCAAACCCAAGAGCAGCAAGAGTAGTCCTCAGTGTGTCGTGCCACTCACGGGGTGCCTGGCGGAGACCGTAGATTGGCCGCCGGAGGCTCCACTGGGTACCAGGAGGGAACGACCCAGTGAAGCCAGGTGGGCGGCGCAGCCAGATCTCCTCGTGCAGGCTGCCCTGTAGGAAAGCAGTGCTGAAGTCAAGAGAGTGGAGCTCGTAGTCACGCTGAGCGGCGACGTGCAGCAGAACCCGAAGAGTGGTCTTCTTCGGGGTCGGGGAGAAGGTATGGAAGAAGTCAACTCCCTCTCGCTGACTGAAGCCTCGTGCAACGTAACGCGCCTTGAAGACAGGCGGAGAACCCGGCGGCCGCTTCACCCTGAAAATCCACATGCCACTGACGATGTTCGCCCCAGGTGGGGGAACCTCGTCGACGTAGGTGCCTGTGGACTTCCAGGAGGCCATCTCTGCGTCCATGGCTGTCTGCCACTGAGAGGAGTAGGGACCCTCTATCGCCTCTGCGTAAGAGCGTGGGGTCGAGATGTCTGGTGCATCCGGGTCTCCCTCAGGGGCAATCAGCATGGACACGAGATGAGGCAAAGCAGCGGCAAAGCACTCAAACTCCTCCTGCCTGTCCTCAGGGACGTCCGTGCCAAGAGCACACTCACCCCCGACGGACGGAGGACAGACAGACTCAGACTCAGCAACAAGGCTAGCGGCGTAGTCTAGACGACAGGCGGCAGCAAAGTCAACTAACTCAGCGACTAGAGCAGACGCAGCAGAGGACTCAAAGGTAGGGTCAGTGACAACAGTGGCGAGGAGACGCGTGACAGTAGGACTGGCAGCACGAAGGGAGTCAGACTCCGGGTCAGCAAGAGCAGGAAGAGAGGACGCTGGAGGAGACGGCAGAGGGACACGTTGTGGAGCAGTGGAAGCACGCAGAGTCATGTAGTGAGTGCCAGGGACAGGAGGAGGACGCTCTCGCGGAACACGACGACGAGCACGGACAGGCGACTCTGAACGAGACTCAGGCGACGCAGGACGAGACTCAGGCTCACGACGCTCTGTAAGACCTCCAGTCGGTCCGGCGTAAGGAGAAGGACTAGGGAGCGGAGAGGCAGGCTGTAACTGTGACTGCGACTGGACAGGCTGTGGACTCAGTAGGGGAGGAGTAGGACGAGTAGAGGGCGGGAGGCCAAGAACCTGCTGAAGGAGCGGAACGTAGTACGGCCGCGGCGGCGCAGCTCCTCCTGAGCCAGCAGAGACAGCACCAGTGCCCTCAGCTCCAGGGTCTCCAGCTACAACTCCCGCACCACCACCAGCAGCTCCAGCAGCTCCAGAACCCCCAGCAGCTCCAGCACCAGCAGCACCTCCAGTGGCTCCAGCACCAGCAGCACCTCCAGAAGCTCCAGCAGCTCCAGTAACTCCAGGACGGGCACCTCCAGAACCAGCGGCTCCCGTAGCTCCAGCACCAGCAGTACCTCCAGCAGCTCCAGCACCAGCAGCACCAGCTCCAGGGTCCGCAGCACCAACAGCAGCTCCAGCTCCGGGGTCCTCAGCACCAGCAGCAGCTCCAACTTCAGGGTCCTCAGCACCAGCAGCAGCTCCAACTCCAGGGTCGTCAGCACCAGCAGCAGCACCAACGCCTGGGTTCTCAGCACCAGCAGTAGCTCCAACTCCAGGGTCCTCAGTACCAGCAGTAGCTCCAGCTCCAGGGTCCCAAGCACCAGTAGCGCCACTCCGAAGACTGCAGCGCC